GTCAACTGGTATTGATATTTTACCAATTTGAGTGAAGTATTGAAATCTAATTTTAGTCTATGTCCATATGTCCTTTCTTGTCTTATATATTTCCTCTGAATAATATTTCCGTATATATGAGGGGGTACCCCCTCCCCAAAACCGGAATTGCTCTGGGCAAAGTAGAGCTTTCCTAGTACGCATTTTTCCTGCTGGGTGAGTGAGCATCCAGCAATTATCTCTGAGTTAGTGCACCCAGTGGCATCACCTGGGAAGGTTCTATGGTCACAGTGAATTTTTTTGTAAAAGCAGTTTCAGTCAAACCTCATTTTTTTGATGGCTGATTTAAGAGAACAATGTGTGGCTGCGAAATTTTGTTTCCTGCTCAGGGAAAAATGCCGCAGAAACTTGTGATGTTGAACACAGTTTATAAGGACAGCACTATGGGAAAAGCTCAAGTGTATGAGTGGTTTTCTTGTTTCAAAAACAGTGAAATGTTGATTGATGATAAACCTCATTCTGGACGTCCGTCAACTTCCCAAATGGACAAAAATGTCTACTTGTAGTACATTTGAAGTTCATTCTACCAGGTCAGACTGTTAATCAAGCTTTCTATGTAGAGGTGTAACAGTGTGTGACCAAAAATACCTGATTTGTGGCACTTGGGGGACTGGTTTTGCCACCCTAACAATGCACCTGCTCACACAGCCATCTCAGTGTGCCAGTTTTTAGCAAAAAGAGCATGCCTCTCACCCCAAGCACCTGACTCACTTGACCTCGCTCTGTGCGACTTCTTTTTGTTTCTGCGAATGAAGAGGGACATGAAAGGACAGCAATGTGATGACAGAAGAGGTGAAGAAAAAATGAGGTGCTGTCAGCCATCCAAACAGAAGAATTTGAAAATGTTTCCAAGAATGGAATTGCGTATTTGACAAATGTATTAAGTGTAATGGATAGCACTTTGAAGGTGATAAGTTTGTTTTGGACCTGGTAGGGCAGGATCAAGGGGAACGTAACCAAGAGGAAGTGCTGAAATCCTGGTGGGGACTAAGCATGATAGTGGGACAGGAGGAGAATCAA